ATGTACGGGCGACCACCTCCCGTGCTTGGTAACTTAAGGGGGGATTTGAGTCAGTTGGGAGAAGGAATTACCCGGCAGCAGGTTGTAGAGTTGGGTAAGACTATGGAGGAGGTACAGAAATGGGTACAAGATAGATTACCTGTGAATATTTATCCCCCAATTCATAGTTACCACCCAGGCGACCAAGTGTGGATTAAAGAGTGGAATAATGTGCCGTTAGGGCCCAAGTGGAGAGGTCCTTATGTTGTTCTTCTGTCTACCCCTACAGCGATAAAAGTAGCCGAAGTGGCTCCGTGGATACATCACTCCAGGGTTAAACCAGCAGCAGCCGATTCCTGGCAAGTTACAGCAAATCCAGAGAATCCCTGCAAGATCCGGTTAAAACGCATGACTCAGTCGGAGTGACGAGGAACCTTGTAGATTACAAATTTTATTGTTTCAGAGACTTGGTAAGTGAGTGAAAAGGCCATAATAAAGCCTGTCCACTCACCAACGAGTGTATAAGTCAGGGAAAGTCTTGAGGGGACCCCTGTGAAGACGAGCAGAACTCCATTCCCTGCAGTCCTTACATCCTGGAAGCTGAGGTGCCTTCACACGGACGAAGACTGAGGATGACGACGAAAGATGTATTTTTAATAATGTTTATTTATGTGTATTTTTATATTCAGGAAGGTAGAGGTACCAACACTCCTAGCTGTGAGGTATGCATTAAGACTACAAGAACAGGTAACCATATATCCCAGACCCTAATTTGGCATTCGCAATATGAGTGTAAAGGAGATGTATCAAGATGTAGATACTTAAATATAGAATATAGTGTGTGTCATTTAGGAGTAGGAGAACCTAAGTGCTTCAGTCCTGAGTATCAACCCCGTACAATTTGGTTGACTCTCAGAAATGGAGATTCTCAGGGGACCCTAATTAATAAGACGGTATTAAAATCCGTATATTCTTCAGGTGCTCTGCTATTTGATGCGTGTAAAGCAATATCAAGTGGTAGAAAGCCGTGGAATGTATGTGGGGATCTTAGATGGGAGAGGACGTATGGGTCTAACGATAAATATATTTGTCCCAGTAGTAAAAATAAATATGTAAGTCCAAGATGCCCAAATAGAGATTATAACTTCTGCCCATATTGGTCTTGTGTGGGGTGGGCGACTTGGGGACAGACAGCAGACAAGGACATGATTGTGACTAAGTTGCCTACTAATCCATATTGTAAGTCTATGGAATGCAATCCAATCCATATACTTATAAATAACCCTGACAAGTTCTTAGATAAATATGGTAATTTATTTGGGTTTCAAATATATGGGACGGGTTTAGACCCTGGGACAATATTGTTTATAGGGATAGAGTCTGATACGGTAACCTCCCAAACTCATCAAGTATACCATTCCTTTTATGAAGAGATGAGCATAGATAATAAGATCCCCCATAATGCTAAAAACTTGTTCATTGATTTAGCCGAGAGTATTGCCGGTAGTCTTAATGTTACCAACTGCTATGTGTGTGGAGGTACTAACATGGGAGACCAATGGCCTTGGGAAGCAAAGGAGGTAATGTCCGGTTCTGAGGCAGTTGACCAATTAATATCTACACAAGCCGACTATCATATGAGTGTTAGAGGTAAATCTGAGTGGAGATTGAAGACCTCCATCATAGGTTATGTTTGCATAGCGAGGAAAGGAATGATGTATAATACTTCTGTAGGAGAATTAACTTGTCTAGGGCAAAAAGCTTATGATGATGATACAAAGAATACAACTTGGTGGTCGGCTTCAAATGTCTCAGAACCATCTAACCCGTTTGCAAGATATGCCAATTTAAAGGACGTATGGTTTGATCTATCCATCACATCTAACTGGAGAGCCCCAGCGAATTTGTACTGGATCTGTGGTAAGAAGGCCTATTCGGAGTTACCACAGGACTGGGAAGGGGCATGTGTGTTGGGTATGTTAAAACCATCCTTCTTCTTGTTGCCTATTGAAACAGGTGAGACTTTAGGTGTTAAAGTGTATGATGTGAATCATAGGAAGAAAAGGGGACCCATAGAGATAGGTGCCTGGGAAGATAATGAATGGCCTCCCCAGCGTATTATAGATTATTATGGGCCAGCCACGTGGGCAGAGGATGGTACCTTTGGTTATAGAACCCCTATTTATATGCTCAACCGCATTATAAGGTTACAGGCGGTGGTTGAGATCATTACTAACGAGACATCACAAGCGCTCAATCTTCTAGCGAAGCATAATACCAGGATGAGGACAGCAGTTTACCAAAATAGATTAGCCTTGGATTATCTTTTGGCAGTAGAGGGAGGTGTATGTGGGAAGTTTAACCTGAGCAATTGCTGTCTTCAAATAGATGACGAAGGGCAAGCAATAGCTGAGCTTACTAGCCATATGGTTAAACTAGCGCATGTGCCTACTCAGGTATGGAAAGGGTACAATCCAAGTAGTTGGTTTGGTAGCTGGTATGAGTGGTTTGGAGGGCTTAAGGCAGTGGTAGGTGGAGTCCTACTGATTTTAATGTTGTGTCTACTCCTGCCGTGTCTTATACCCTTAGTAGTTAGGTCTGTGCAAAGCCTGATAGAAAATATAGCAGAGAGGAAGGCTGCTGCACAGATAATGGCAATTTATAAATATAAGGCTCTAGATCAGGGAGAACCAATGCAGGAAGACGAGTGTTGAAGATTCACATCGTAGGATAAGTCTGGTCTGGTTCAAAGGTAACTTGTGGTGTATGCAAACCAAGGTTAAGTGATGCCTCAAGTAATTGTAAAATATCAAGAGGCATCAAAGGGGGGAATGTGGTGGAATCTCGGTAAAAATAAATTTAGTAGGCCGAGATTACCACGTGGCATGTGTACGTGCATATGCTGACGTATCGATCAGTTGGTTGCACGAGGCAAGATACGATCAGTAGTGTACGGAGCATGTGCAAGAATACAGGATGTAGTATTCCCCTCCTCCATTGTGCTGGACAAGCCATGCGGTCAAGCAGGAAGTTAATTCTTATTTGTAATGATTGGTCAAGAGAATGTGCGGGTGGAGCTTAATATGGGAGGAGTTATGTGCCTATATAGGGAGCCTGCACTATTGTTCAGGGCTCAGAACTTGCTGTATTTTTGGTGACATTAGTCCCTCTGAGTCCCGATCGGTGATCCAATAAAGAATCTCTTCCTTCCTGAAGAAACCTGTGTCCATCCCTCTGTGCTTTGCTTCCGTCAGTTTCTCCGGTATCAATACATGACCTTTTCAGTAACTGTTTTTATCGTCACAGTAGTAACTTATTTTCCTGTGTACTTTTTTCCCCATTCACCGCACTGCATACTACTGCAAAGCTCTTAGTACACTCATATGCTCTGCATACGCCTACATTAAACCGGCGTATTTCTATGCTAACCAATTCTGTAGTGCTTTAATACACTTAGATGTACTGCTCTTCCTCTTATTTACAACAGCACACCAGAACTATTTTCTACTGCCCAAAATTTGAATTTAAACATCAAAGAAATACTCTAACATTAGGAATAAAATAAAGCCTTTAACTTACATTTATTTCCATAGCACGCCAGTTACATGCTGCTGCTGCTCTTTCTCCAGGTAAGATCACATAGGGAAGCTTTGGGGGCTAGTGTACATGCGCAGTATTTGCTGTGCTGCACCAACCAGCATCTCCTCATAGAGATGTATTGCCTCAATGCACCTAAATTGGGACCAGAACTACAACTAAGACTGCCATTCGAGGTGGTCTTAGGCAGCAAGGTAAACATTAAATTTTCTCAGTAAAGGCTGTGTTTACATTGCTGAGACTGCAAACTAGAGTATTCCTTAAACTACAAATTAGCCTATCCAATATAGCTTCTAATTTTCCCTGCCAGTTTACCACTGCCTTCCCCAAACTACATCCTTACATTGCCCTGCAATTAATCCGCTACCAAACTAGAACCTAGCAATTCCCTGCAAATTACCCCTCTTCCCCAATTAAAATCCCACATTTCTCTGAAAATGTACTCCCACCAATTACCCTGTTTATATTTCCATAATAGTTTTTCCCTTCCTTCTGCCAAATTTACATAAAGAGACTGTCACTGTATAAAATCCAACACGCAGGGTATAGATAGTCAAGGGAATAAGAACATGTTACTGGTCCTTAGAGGAGGCCAGGCTTCATGTATAACAGAGTAACAGATCAACCATAAACAAGCCAAAGTCAAGGGAAACTACAGATCAGATAAATGAAAAGGCTGAAGAAATCAGGAGTCAATGGAAACCAGGTCAAGAAAGTAAGTGTATTCTTGCTCTTCCTGCTGTTCCTTACACTATAGCCATCAAAACAACTTTAGCTTAATGAAGCAGTTTAGATGTACAGATTATGCCCCTGCAATCTTACTTGTTAAATCACTCTGTTTATGCAACCCTAGTCACACCGCTCTGCATGTGACTTACACAGCCTACCTAAACACTTTCTGTAAGGGGTCATTTAATGTTTATACTTCCCTTATTGCAAATTCTGTTTAAGTTAGAATTTCTTATCTCCTGCTCTGTTAGTAGCTTGCTAGACCCTACAGGAACCTTCTGTATGCGATTAAAGTTACATTTACAAAGCAGGAGATAAAAACGTTTAAAGTTACATCTGATTGAAAATGAAACCATTTTTTTCATGCAGTCTATGTCAGTCACAGCCAGGGGAGGTGTGACTAGGGCTGCATAATTAGAAACAAAAGTGATTTAACTCCTAAATGGCAAATAATGGAGCAGTGAGACTGCAGGGGCATTTTCTATACACAAAAACTGCTTCATTAAGCTAAAGTTGTTTTGATGGCTAGTGTCCCTTTAAGCTATGTATATTCTATTTGACATGCTATACAGATTTTGGTCCATGTGTATTCTACTGTATATTTTACACTAGTGCTCACCACCATCATATATATTTTGTTAAACTTCCCAAAAACAATTTAAAAAAATCATGCAATGTGTAATCTTTATATTCATTCATACTCCATATAGTTTCTCTTCCAGGTGCAGAAATGAAGTAGGATCAATTGGAATTTTATGCAAAATGCTTTCCAAGAAGGATACAAATATTCCATCATTCATGTAGTAGGAGATATTCTTTTTTATTTTTCCATCTTCCCCTGAAAGAAATATAATTAAAAAAAGGTAACCCAAGTCTCCCATCAGTCCCTTATTTAACAGTACATTCAAGAGTACAACAGTACACAACCAAAATTGTGGTCCTGTCCCACCATTCCTTATCTGGGGAACAAATATACCAAGTATAGCATGTCATTAGACAAGCTTACACTGTGCAAACTCCACTGTGGGCAATTAGCGCATGAACAGTGCTTTACTACATATGTCATCCTCAGTGGGGCTGGCTAGCACAGGGCCGATCCTGGGGTCACTGACGCCTGGGTGCAAGAATATTTTTGTGGCTATTTTGTTAGCTTCTCCCCTACACAAACATAACACTTTTAACCACAGCCATTTTCTTTAGAAACCACTCCACCTCTTTGGGCCCCCAACTTCACCATGTCACATGTCACCCACTTTCTATAGTACCAGCTTTGCCTCCAAAAATATATTTGTGCCCATCTTCTCAGTGCTGTCTCTGTCCCTATACAGCTTCCCAGTGACATTTGTCTCAGAATAGCTAAGTGCCATCTCTCTGTCCCAATATAACTAAACAGTGCTGTTGTGGAAATGAGATATTTACATATTCTTTAGTTAGTAAAATGCCTATTTACTCGTTTAACTGAAATCAGTGCATAAGCTATTAACACATATTTAGACAAAATGGCCACTAGAAGCTTCTAACCCCTCCCTCCCTATAACACAGACTAACTACCTCGTGCATCAAGATGGCGCTGGAATCTGGGGGAGACCCTCATGGTCTCAGTGACATCACCCTTAGTAGGCAGAGGGTTAAGGAAACCACTTAACACCTAACCAATTAATAAAGTATTTCATGTTATCTCTGACAATGCTTATGATGTAAATCTTGCTTTAAAAGGGACCTGCCGTCCCCTCTGAATAAACTTTCCTCAAGTTATTCAACAACCTGGAACCTGTGTCTGGTGTGAATTACTTCAGGGAGCGTGCACACATTACTTCTTAATTTGGCCAGGGGCAGATACACAGAGACTAATCAATTAATTGAATTGATTTCCACTTCAAGTGTCATCTCTGTCCCAGTATAGCTAATCAGTGCCATCTTTGTCTCAAAATATCTTTGACCCCATCTTATTAATGACATTTTTGTGTCCAAATAGCTTATCAGTGCCATCATTATCCCAAAATTGCTCATGAGTGCCATTTTCTTTTTCCAAACAAATTACCAGTGCCATCTTGTCCTCGTGTAGCTTGTCAGCTAGTAATGTTTTTGTATGAACTGTGTATAAGCTGGTGTATTTTGCAGAGAGTCAATGTATTTGTATTGCAGGGATGTATTGTATGTATGTAAAAGTGTACTTCACTTGACATTACTGTGTGTTATTGCATTGGTGTATTTGAGCAGTATGTTTATTTTTCTAAATGTCACTGTGTGACTTATTTCACAATTTTCTTCCACTTTTGGCTTTATTCTACCCTCGGGGTGTTGCTATGTTATATGTATATATATATAAAATCCAAAATACTATTGTATCCTTGCACACACACTCCAATGATATTATGCCTGGTGCTGTCAAGCCAAATGCCAAAAATATACAAAAATATAGGGTACAGGAGGCAAGCACTCACGGTCTTTTCTGGTCTCTTTAAAAGGTTGTTCTTTGTTTCATAGGTTAAAACTTGATTTGATCGACGTTTCAGCCAAACTTCATGGCTTTCATCAGGATCTTAACAGCTCAGATCCTGATGAAAGCCATGAAGTTTGGCTGAAACGTCGATCAAATCAAGTTTTAACCTATGAAACAAAGAACAACCTTTTAAAGAGACCAGAAAAGACCGTGAGTGCTTGCCTCCTGTACCCTATATTTTTGTATATATATATATATATATATATATATATTTATATTTATATGGGCTCGACAAATCCCAGGCGCCAGGTCGCAATGGCGAGTAAGAATTTTCCCTTGGCGTCTGGAATTGGTCGGCCCGTTTCCTCCCTCCTCCTGCATGGGAATTCTAAGCTTGAAGGACAGCATTTAAAGACGACCAGCTTGCCGCCCGCCGGAGCTCAACTGAGCCCGCCCACCCACATTGCGCAAAGCTGGTCTGGCCACTGTCCTCAGAGCCAGCGTTATGTCCGGTCACCCGCATCTCACAGAGCCAGCCCTGCCGCTCTCCTCAGAGCCGACCCTCCACTCCGCCCCTTTAAGCAGAGCCACTCCGCCCTTTCCCCTGCGCGCCGGGAGGAAGTTATCACAGTTCCCTTCACTTCCTCCTGGTGCACAAAGATCTGCACGGGGCTGAGGAGGCCGGAGGAGGGGGGAGTCTGGAACAGCGGCAGCTGCTCCCATCAGCCGCAGCCAGCCCCCACTAACCTATTGTCATTTGCTCCTGCCCAGTCCCACTGGACCCCAGGGAAGCCACCCCCCTGAGCCCATAAGGTAGGAAACAGGAGGGTGACTAATTTTTTTTTTTTTATTAGTGTGTGTATATCTGTTATGCCTGTTTGTCTGTGTGTATCTACGAATCTTTGTGTGTGTGTGTGTGTGTGTGTATCCATTTGTATCAAATAATACTTTGTGACTGTTAGAGTGTGTGTCAGTGTGTATTTGTCTGTGACTGTGTTAGAGTGTGTCTGTGTCTGCCTGGGCGGTGGTGTGAGTGTCTGTCTGTCTGCCTGGGGGTGGTGTGAGTGTCTGTCTGGGTGGGTGTGGTGTGTCAGTCTGGGGGGGTGTGTGAGTGTCTCTCTGTCTCGGGGGGGAGGGGGGTGTGAGTGTCTGTCTGGGGTGTGCTGGTCTGGTGTTCTTACTCACCTTTTTCCACTCTGGCCCCAATTACAATAGAGTGATATAACATCGCTCTCTGATACCCAGCTCAAGTTGTCTCTTCTCACCTTAATTGATGTTGCTGGCTGGCTGCTGCAGAGGCTGGTTGGCTGGCTCCTGTGGCTGCTACTTCCTCCAGCAGGCATCTGTTTCTACCCCCAATCCATTTGTGGGTCTCCTTTTCCCCTTGGACTGTCTCTTCCCCCCAGCCCTTCTGTGTGTCTGTTCACCCCTCCAGCCCTTCTGTGTGCCTCTTTGTCCTCCCAGCCCACTGTGTTTCTCTTTCTTTTTCCTGACCCTTTGTGCATCTGTTTCTCTCAACGCCTTTGTGTGTGTCTTTTTTCCCTTCCCCAGCCCCTCTGTGTGTATCTTTGCTCCCCCTAGTGCATCTGTGTTCTAATTTGTCCCACCAGCCGTTGTGTGTGTCTTTTTGCCCCGCAGCACCTCTGTATGTCGCTTTGTCCAACTAGCCCCTCAGTGTGTATCTTTGTCCCCCCCCACAGCCCCTCTGTGTGTCTCCCTGTGCCCCCAAGCCCTCTGTGTGTCTCTCTGTGCCCCCCAAACTTTGTGTGTCTTTTTTACCAAGCCCCATTGAGTCTCTTAGGGCTCCCACCTCCTGTGCCCTTCTTTTGCCCTGCTCCCCTCCTGCCTTTTTCTTCTGCCCCCTCCCCTCGTGCCATTCTCTAGCCCCCCTTCTTCCAGTGCCCTCTTTTTGTCCCTCTTTCCCTCCTGTGCCCTTCTTTAGCCCCCCTTTCCTCCTGTGTACTTCTTCTGTGCCTTCAACTCCTGTGCTCTTTTGCCCCCTCATCTTCTATGCCCTTCTTTAGCCCCCCTTTCCTCCTGTGTACTTCTTCTGTGCCTTCAACTCCTGTGCTCTTTTGCCCCCTCATCTTCTATGCCCTTCTTTAGCTCCCTTCCCCTGCTGTGCCCTCTTCCCCCCCCCCACCTTATGTGCCCTTCTTTTGCCCCCTCCATTCCTGTGCCCTCATTACCCTCCTGTGCACTTCTTTTGTGCCATTCTTTTGCTCACCTACCCTCTTGTGTCCTTCTTTTGCCCCCCACTATGCTTCAGTAAGTAATTGGGTCTTAAAGCAAAGTGGCGTGGCCTAGCATCACGATGCACCTCTATCAAAGCGACTGGGCACTGTGCACCCGCCCAAGATCGGCTCTAGGGTAGCACAATGTCTGGTTTGCCTGGTGCACATTCACAGCAGGCTGATGTGGCCATATTATAGACTAACCTACTCCATTTCATTGGCCAAATGAAGAAACTCTCTACTAAACAGCTGAAAGATCAAAATCAGAAAAAAGCCCCTTTTTAATTTTGATCTTTCGGGTAGCTGTTTCATAGATTGCTCCCTGGTCTGGTACCTTTATGTGGGATTACAATTTTAAGGATACCAAACTAGGGAGCAATCTGCTAAATAGTACCCTAATTTGGTATAATTTGGAATAATGGCACCCACAATTAATTTCAGTAAGTAATTAATCGTTTTGAACAAACCAAACACATTTGTTCATATCTTTACAGGGTAATATGATGGTCTATAACAGGAGTCCTCAAACTATGGGCTGCATCCGGCCCGCCAGGGTCCTGAACCTGGCTCAAGTACTCAGGGCCACCCGATGGCCCTATATCTTCAGGGGCCCGGTCAGCGCTGCGGAAATGCAATAGTGCGACCGGGCCCCTTTAAAAAAATTGCAGCAGCAAGTACTGATGGGAGGAAATGACAGCCGCTGGTCACTTCCTTCCAGCTCCCTCCTCGTGGGAGGGAAGAGAGCCAGGCCACGGGAGCCACGCCTGCTCCCATCAGCCACAGCCACCCTCCTGCAAAAAAAGGTAAGCGAAATTAGCTATGTATGTGTGTGTATGTCTGTGTGTATGTGTCTGTCTGTGTGTCAGTATGCGTATGTCTATATGTGTGTGTATGTATGTCCGTATATATGTATGTGTCTGTCTGTTTATGTATGTATGTGTGTGTATTTATGTCCTTATGTGTGTGTGTGCAGTGTGCACTACATTTCTGTAGTGGCTCCAATGAAAAAATCTTGCACCCAGATTAAAAAAAAAAGAAACAAAAGTCATAAACAAAACAATATCGACTTCCCAAATAAGTCTGTATATATAAGACAAGAGAAAGGAGATAACAGTGTTGTACGGAGACACCACTGGTTTCCCTAGAGAGTTACCGAGATATCCAAGGGCATGAACCCCAAATAACGTAATACAAAAAAAAGAAGAAAGGATAAAGTGGGTGGCCACCCTCTCCGCCATACGCGGGTGGATGTCCACTCCACCATGTGATATCTCTTAAAAGTACAACATTCGGATGTATGGTACAACCTTTATTTAGCCAAATACAAATATACACAAACTAACTACATGTGAAACCTCCTAAATGTAAGAAAAATATGTAGTGAAAACCAAGTGGTAATATACATTTAAAAGCTAGGTAGACTAGGTTGTAAAAAGCCACAAAAATGCCGAAGTATAATTATGTAGAATGCAAAGCTTCCAATGACTTAGATATGTATAATACTTCAAAGAAGGCAAACAAATACTGTGTGGCAAAAAATATATATATTAACTAGTATGGCTATAAATGGAGATCACTCTATTAACAGGATAAGAGGCTTAGGGTATCAAGTATATACCCCCCACAGCACCGTATAATGCTATTCCTATCAAGGACGTAGCATCTGTGAGCAGGGTCTGTATAAAACTCAGACAGCAAGTTTCGGTGTTCGATACTGTGTAAAGTATCAAGATAACGGGCGTATGCACGTACGAATGCGTGTGCTCGTGAACGAGTGTAAACACGCGGGTAGAGGAAGGGGAGGAGTTGGAGTAGGTTGGGGGATACACGATAGCAGGGAGTGGAGTACTTGGAACATAGGAGAAAGAAGGAGCAGAGTACTTGTAGAATAGGAGAAAGAAGCAGCAGAGTACTTGTAAAAGGGAGAAAGAAGGAAAATAAAAAATATAAAAAGGAAAAGGAGAGAATTGTTCTGGGCTAATAATAATAATAATAATAAGTAGGCTACCTAGCTCAGCCTTCCTGATGGGCATTGCTATAAGGAAGGTAAAAAAAAATATAAAAGGAAATAAAAGGTGGGGAGAGGAATTGAGGAGGGAGAAGAGTGGAGCTGACGCACAGATGAGAAATCATATTATGCGCAAACAGAGAAATCGTCTGAATATCACCGAAAGAGGAGACCTTCGTTTGTTCCTTACGAAAATCAAACCAGAAAATTTAGTCTCGCAGAATCAACCTCAAGGATCCCATTAATCACTAGTAAAGGTAATTTCAATTTACTTTATTGTTTTCTCATTAAACTTTATAAAGTTAAAAACATTATAAACATGCATTAAGTAGAAATAAAAAGATAAATGTACGTACATTTATTTTTTTTAAAACACCCTCCTTTCTAAAAAATAATTCCTCACTTGCGCGAAAACTGGTGGGCGGTAAGGACATTTTTTCAACCAAAAAGATGCATTAGTGGGCGGTAGGTAGAAAAAGGTTGACTACCACTGTGCTACACTTTAGATAGCAATGTTGCAAGTTCCACATGTGCACACCTCCTGTTTATCTCAGAGTGCACCGGAGAGGGGGCAGTGTAGTGGGAGTCATAATGTTCATTGATTAGGCAGGGTATAAGAGAACAGGCAGAGCCATGTATATTTGAGTGGAGGGTTATCAGGGTAGTTTAAAGACACTAAACTGTGTAGCCATAAAGAGTAAAAATAATAAGCAGGTGCTTAGCGAGGTAAATGAGGTGAATCTTCAAATATATATCACCTACAGGTAGAAAATCGCCCACCGCCAACACAAGGAACAGTCAGGGCCGGACTGGCCCACCGGGATACCGGGAAATTTCCCGGTGGGCCGCGGCACCTGGGGCCGGTCTGACAGCCCTAATCATTGGGCTGACAGCTCCGGCCGCACAGAGCCCCATGGGAGCAGGGGGAGCCGGCCGGCACAGCTCACACACGGCCGGCCGGGATCATTAAAAAAAATAAAATTGTGGCGGGGGCGGAGCTTAGTGCGACGGGGGCGGGGCTAACTGGGTTTAGCGTGCGGCGGGGGCGGGGCTTAGCGTGCGGCGGGGGCCTGGCTGACTGCAGCATGGGAAGCAGGTAGGAGTCCCTGCTTCCCCAACAACCAGCCTCCAGGAGCTGCAAGCAGGAGGGAAGAAGGAGGTCAGTGTGTGAGTGTGAGTGTGTGACTGTCTGTGTGTGACTGTCTCTATGTGAGTGTGTGACTATCTGTGTGTGACTGTCTCTGTCTCTATGTGAGTGTGTGACTGTCTCTGTGTGTCTGCCTGTGAGTGTGTGACTGTCTCTGTGTGACTGCCTGTGAGTGTGTGACTGTCTCTGTGTGTGTGTGACTGTCTGTGTGTGACTGCCTGTGAGTGTGTGACTGCCTGTGTGAGTGTGTGACTGTCTGTGTGTGACTGTGTGAGTGTGTGACTGTCTGTGTGAGTGTGTGACTGTCTGTGTGAGTGTGTGACTGTCTGTGTGTGACTGTGTGTGACTGCCTGTGAGTGTGTGACTGTCTGTGAGTGTGTGACTGTGTGTGTGTGTGACTGTGTGTGTGTGTGACTGTCTGCCTGTGTGTGAGTGTGTGGCTGTCTGCCTGTCTTTGTATGTGTGGGTGTTTGCCTCAGTGTCAATGACTGTCTGCCTGTGTGTGTGTGGCTGTCTGCCTGGGTGTCAGTGACTGTCTGCCTGGGTGTCAGTGACTGTCTACCTCTGTGTGTGTGTGTGCGCACATCTGCTTTTTTCCAGGGCTGCTTCGTATCCCCAGTCCGGCCCTGGGAACAGTGCTACTACACCTGAACTTGAAAAAACCTCCTATAGACTGAAACTATTAGCACAAAAGTGTTCTCTCTATCTCCAACTGCTGCTTGTCAACAGCTCTTGACAAAGGCGTGGAAGCACTCCGAAACACGCATCGAGCTTTTCTTTGTGCCAAATTTGTTTTTAATACTGGGGGACTTAGTTGACTAAAATGGAGTGTCTTATGGAGATTGGGGGGCTGTGGGCAAGCTAGTTTGACAGGCTGCCTTGAAGCAGCACTTTTTTTTTTCAAGGGGTGACAGAGCTGCTTTAAGAATACATACCCTTTGGAAAAATACCTTTACTTGGAAAAAAAGCTTTGTAACCTTAGAGACTACTTTCAATAAAGTTGATACTACAATCACATAAAACTATCCCTCTATGTATCTTTTGAACCACAATTAAATGGTATCATTGCTAAATGCACAAAAAGTGAGAAATTTGGTTTTACTACTTGCAGTTTTTTGTTTTCCTTTTCATTTCAACTCCTGGAAGTGACTTGATATCACTATCTTGCTATTGGGCAAATTAAGGTTATTAATTGCTCCTCCTAAATGTAGTACTGATTTTAAATTGCATTTTATGCAGGGCCGGTTATGTCAGATCCCTGTAGGCACAGAATTCAAAGGCATCCCCATGCTCCCGCAGAAAAAAAAAAGGCAGATAATGTTAGTTTAATGACTATATTAACTGGACATTGTAGGCATAAAAATTTCTAAAAATCATATCTTGGTAAAGTAAAGACTTGCTCAGCATCTAACGGAGGAGGGAAGTGAGTTCCACAGGAAATGTGCAGCCCTCGAAAAGTCTTGAAGGCGAGCATCAGACGTGGGAGTACGGACAGAAGATAGACGTAAGTTTTCAGCAGAGCGTAAGGGCCTAGACAGGACATACTTGTGTATTAGGGAGGATAGATAGTTTGGAGCAGAATTATGTAGAGATTTGAAAGCAAGAACCAGAATTTTAAATTAAGCCCTATATCTTACATATATGTATATTTTGCATATATCTTGTATAGATGCAACTGTATTTTTCTGCCTATAATGTATTGTGTTTGAAACTGTAAGTATAGTGAGTGTATGCAGCTGGTGGTAATGGTCTTGTAAAGATGGTGTATTTATCTACTCAATAAAAGTAGTATTTCTTAGTGAATTATTTGAAATCCACTCAAGCTATAGAGTGAATCTATACCTTTTAGTGTCTTGTGTTTATTAGATGTACCATTGTTCTTTCCAGAAGGACAACAGGAAGTGCTGGCAGGGATGCTTGTGGTCTTTTGAGGCAGTCCCTACTTGAGATCCTGGCATGTTAGGTGGACTACCCAAGCTTGTAAGTTATGTGCCACCTGAGCTGGGGCTATGAGTGATATGTGTATGACTTAGGGTTCCATAGTGGTTTTAGCAAAATGTCATACTCAAAGGTCTTTGAGTCTGACATAATGGGGTGGAATCCAGCTACATAGACCTACAAATCCAAATATGATACCGCTCACCGGATCCTTAGGAGTAGTCCACAGTAGAACAAGATCCCTTAGATTGAGTTCTGGCATGGGACCAGTCTTATTTATTTATAGTTTGTTTTATAATGTGATAATGCATGACTAAACTTCTGTAGAGGTGCCTTGTGGAAGTTAAAAATGTAGGATTGCTTTTGTTTCTAATGTGTACGAATTACCAGAATGCATATAAGACCAAAACCAAAAGGCATCTAAAAGGGATACTTTAAGCATCATAGTAACATATTGTAATAATCTCCAAATAATTTTATTTTAACAAGTTTATCCGTTAATTTTAGGACCAATAGCTATTTTAAAAACAATCTGTATTTTTTCTTTCCTTTAGGGGCATATCTGACCCCCCAACCATACCACACACCTTTCTCATTCACCACTTTCTTAGTTACAATATTGAGGGCAAGTGTGCCAGCAGAGGTCACATAATATCTTCCTGGCTCTGCAATGATCTCTAGACCTTTCTCCATTGGAAAATACTGATCCAAAGCTTTATTTATCACAACTGCAAACTAAAGTGAGAATAAGAGAAAGTATTATTAGATTACAGATGAAACAATTACAAACTTTCTTCATAAGTGACAAGTAAATTGTCCTGATTCTGTCTTCACTATGAGTTCTTACCTCTTCAAATGAGGGTTGACAAGAAGGGTTTCCAGGTAGCCCCCCTCCAATATCCAAGAGTCTCATCTTGTGACCCAACTTGTTTCCAATATCAAACACACTTCTGCCATCCTTAATGGCCTGGCCAAATGCTTGGGGGTTCCTGGCTGCTGATCCTATATGAAAGCTGTTGAAGATTTGTGAAAGATTGTTGTTGACTACCACAAATTAAAACTGTCACAGGTTTGAGAATTTGGTTTCATGGAACAGGGTCATAGCAATCAAAGTTTCCAGTGAGATTCCTATACTTTGTATTGTTTGCAAAAAAAACAGCTGAACCAGGGAACACTTCAGCAATTGACTCTATATACAGGAACACAGAATATTCTCTGAGAAGCCCAAGCCATGTGAGAAAACGTAATGATTTAAGTATATTTATCCATATTTGCCAGTAGATTTTTTTTTTTAATATATTATATACACAAAATCCAGAGCTGACATTGGTTAGTTGCAGTGTCGCTGCAGTTCAGTCCTCATGCCCTCTATTGTTTTGTGCTGGTACAATGTTGTAAGAGGGACTTGTTTGTTCCTTGCATCCACGACCTAGTGGTCGACAGGCAGGCAGGGATATAGATATCTCCACCACATACATACAACACTGTGTATATGAAGAGGCCTAGCTGGAGGAAACACCCAGGTCTCTCTAATGATGAAATAAGGCCATTCTTCAGATACTTTAACCCCTTAAGGACACATGACATGTATGACATGTCATGATTCCCTTTTATTCCAGAAGTGTGGTCCCTTAAGGGGTTAAGGAGATGTAGAAGAGGGGACAAATACAAAGGAATGTGGAAAGAATAGTCAGTATTGAGAGCATAGAGAGATATGGGGAATGGTACACCACGCATGGGAAGATTCAACAGTTCAATTTACAGATAGTCAACATTACTATTCATTACCATCCAATAACCAAAAGAAGATTTTTAAGCCTTAAAATTGCCTTGCTGCAGATATTTAACTTTCTGATGAAATATTAACTTATGTCAATATCTCTGGATAATAGCTTGATATGCTAAATTTGGCAAATTACCAGTAAATCATACATAACTCCCATTCAGCTGCAGCCTGAATTTCTCACTTTTTCTCACGTGTTCTCACTTTAAAAAAAATTTGTATCTCTAATTCTTTCATGTGATCTTTTTAAAGTGACCAATGGGATTAGGTGAGTATACCTTATTCTAATGATTGTGTTTATAGATGTTAATCAGTAGATGGTGTTATTAATGACAGAAATTACATAGAAATCCGCTATCATTATAGCTACTTCATCATAGATGCCTGTCACACTTAAAATGTATAGTAGATGTGGCGAAACCGGCCTCGCCACATGTCCTTGGAGGGGGCTGCTTGCCCGCCTCTTGCCTTTGGACTATGGACCAGACTTTATGTGAATGTGTTAACCAGATAGCTATGCCATGGAGCCCATTCGTGTAGTTAAAGACTTCGGCTCCATGGCAATTGAACTGTGTGAATAGGATCTGAGCGCTATTCGGTAGTTTTGTGCGCTCAGATCCCAGCTATCTGGGGATATGTGAAATGTCTGTGTGTTATGTGTAAAAAGTGACTTTATGTATTTTAAAGTGTTTTGTGTCTTTTTGCAACCATGTGCTTAATGGAGTCTTGTGTCTGTCCTGGGAGATAATTGAATTACTCTCCAGGATAGAAGACTCTGAAACTGGTTTGGGCCAGAAAGCCATACTTCATTTAGTCACAAAGGACTTTCCCTTAACTTTTGAACCCCTGGTCTGATTCGTGCCATTTTTTAATATGTTGTTCCCCTGAATGGATTGATTGTGAATATGTAATTTTATGTGAATGTGATGTATGGTTTTAGAGTTATGAAAGTTGGTAGAAAGTATGTTTTAACTGTATGTGTAATTGAGTTTCCTCTCAGGATAAGGGGAGGGAATATGTGGGATGTAACTGATATGTGATTGGTTGTTTTATACCTCCCTGTGGGCGGTCCTGTATGTGAAAGACTGTAATAAAAACCAGGCTGGGTGTGCCAGCACAGGAGTTCCTGCTTAACCCTCAAAGTGAAGTGTCGTCTCATTATTGGGGAAGGATTTATTGTATGCTGTTCCAGTTTGACTGCTAGGAGAGTAAACCTATTCGTATGGTTCCTATTCAACTGTCTACAGCATTCATATGCTTGAGAGAAGGTATACGCTTCTCTGGTTCGGTGATTGTGGTGTCTGCCAGAGTGCTTGGAGTCCTCAGGAAACGCTAGGAGCATCTTTCAACGGAGGTATCCAGTCGGGGTGCCAGGTGATCCGTTACAGTAGACTATTAGCTTTTTCGTGCCAAAAAGTATATATTTGATGCATCTGGCCTTTGGTTCAACTCGCGTCTTACATTAGGGTCTTGCATTTATATAGATTTCGCTCGAAGTAAAATGAATTACTAGTAGGTAGTATATCTTCTTGGAAATTCTTATATGTGTCTCTAGTATCTAGTTCACACTGTCCTATTGTTTGGAGCTAAGTGTGTCTGAATTAGTAATATGTGAGAACATATGAAATATACATGTCTTTTACACACAGTCAGCTAGTGGTAGTTTTCTAATAATTAGATTATTATTTTATTATTTATATAGCTCCATCACATTCCGTAGCGCTGTACAATGGGTGGACTGACAGACATGTAATTGTAACCAGACAACTGGACGTACAGGAACAGAGAGGTAGAGGGCCCTGCTCAATGAGCTTACATTCTAGAGTGAAACAAAGGGTAAAAGTAGGGGTACAAAGTAGGTTGTTAGAAAAGTATTCACTGAGAGCTTAGTAGGTAATTTTTTTTTTTTTTTTTTTTTACCAGAAAAGCCTTTATGTCTCAGCAGCTAGTAGCATTATACTTGGCTAGTCCTATAACTCTTAAGTTTAACATGCTTTGTGAATATATATAAGTTATGCTTATTATGTAGAGTATCATCGCAGTAATAGCTAGGCATTAATATGATTGTGCCTAATTGTGCATAAGGGAGTGACATACATTTTTGTATAATGACGACAGGAATGAGTAGTAAAACACAGAGTAGGTAAAACGTTAATGTTCAAGATATATTAGAACAGTTGCAGTGCTGGATTTGCATATATGATAAACAGCACAATTGTAGTGATTTATGACATGAGAAACTTAATGCTGAGCTAAATTAATAGGAGAGTAGGTGAAAAAAGCTTAGACTATGCAAGTAGTTTTAACTGCTTAGAGTGTAGAGAGAGTACATCAGGATGTATAGATGGCAGGGCTGCCAGGAGCCATGTCCGCTGAATGCAGCCCAGACTTTGAGAGAGTCCTCCAGACAGTGCAGGCTTATCCAACCCCCGATCTGCAAAACCTGTGGCATGTCAGGAGTGAGTCCAGCATGATGTGTGCTGAGAGAGGTGAGTGCACTCCCAGTGTGTGATGTCTTGCTTCTGCCCGTTCCTCCCTGGGAGGCAGCTGGAACGCAGGAGTGTCATGCAGGTCGGTAGGGTTATCAGTGTTGCTTGGTGAGGGACTGGGTAGCAGGTCTCGACTGTACTTTGCCGCAGGAGCCTGAAATCCAACATGTTTGTAGGTCAGTAAGTGGTGATTTAGCTGTGTTAATGAGCCCTTTTGCTTTTCAACCATCAGTATAGCCTTGAGACTTCTGATCTGCTGTGACATGGTGGTCTCTGGCTGTCCCGCCATTTCAGGTCTGCCTGCCACTACCGCCATTTTGGTTATGGGGGCCCTCTGTGACTTAGGTGCTGCGGGTCATGGGGACAGTCTCCTGGGACCGGGATAACCCCCACCGGTCCAAAGGGGGGGGGAAACGAGGCCTGTATTGCGTGGCATCAGAGTTCCAAAGGGAAACCACGGGGCAGGATAGCAAGGCGGCGGCCGTCCACCTTACTCACCGCCCGGGTAGGCCTCAGATGCAGCTATGCCGATGTGCCTTCTCAGGGGTTAGAACGCTTGTGGTCAGAGTGACTTCAGCGCCAGTGCCTCTTTGCCCGCAGGACCGCTGCTTCTACACTGCAGATGGGTATATTATTCGCTTTTGACCGGCATTAATGTCGCTTTTCTGCAGGAGCTCGTCTTGTATGCGACCTCTCAGCATGGCGGTCCGGCCCCGCCCCCTTAGTAGGTAATTTTTGACTGTTGCAGGAGAGGAGTTATGGGGGATGGGGGATAAAAACCTGCTAACAGTTTAAATGATATGCTTTCTTGGGTGAGTTTTCAATGCTTCAATGATTCAATGAAGTGAGTTTTCAATGCTTCAATGATTCAATGAAGTGAGTTTTCAATTATTTTTTGTATGAGTGGAGACTGGGAAGGGAAGGTCTTTCCACAGAAGAGATGCAGCCCTGGAGAAATCTTTGAGGCGAGCATTAGAGGTGGTAGTATGGACATAAGATATACGTAGGTCTTTGGCAGAGGGTAGGGGACTCGACGGGACATACTTGTGTATTAGGGAGGATACGTAGGTTGGAGCAGCATTATGTAGGGACTTGTAAGCAAGCACCAGAATGTTAAATTGAGCCTTATATCTAACAGGAAGCCAATGCAGAGACCGACAAAGCGGGCAGGCGTGGGAGATGCGAGCCGACAGAAAAATGAGCCTCACTACCGCATTCATTATGGATTGCAGTGGTGCAATCTGGGAACACGCAAGACCACTGAGAACGGGATTGCAGTAGTCAAGACGAGAGAGAACAACAGCATGGACCAACACCTTAGCTGCAGCTGGAGTTAAATAGGGGCGTGTGACAGATCTCTCTGTCTTGAACTTACAGAGACTTATTCTTCATTCGTTCGTTTAATTTGTGTTTTCCCGTTCATGTGGACTCTAGACCGTTCCCTTTTAAACTACTGAATAAAACTCCCGAACGGCCGGCCACCCAGTAGAGAAGTGTGCTGCTAGTTAACCTCTTGGCCCCATTAGAACGTTGAGGTTAACCGCAGACACCTCTTAATTGATGCTGTAGTTGGGTGGCCGCCATTCGTATACAGAACACGAGAACGCAGCCATTTTAAATCCACAAAAGCTCAGTGGTGTTTGACGGCCAACTCATGGAACTCAAAACGGACACTTTTTGCACGAACACCGCTGAAGCCGCCGACCTCCCTTCTCCTTCGGTAGAAATCTGTGAACGTCCCTCTGTTCGGTACTTTGTGAACATATAAACCATACCACAAATAGCCATGCCGTGGAGCCCATTCGTATGGAGAACAGACTTTGTGAACACTTTGGTTCCACGGCGATTGGACTGTGTACATAGGATCTTAGCATTATTCTGTTTTGTGCGCTCAGATCCTAGCTATCTGGGGACCTGTTGAATGCCTATGTTATGTTTTTATATTGAACAGTTATGTATTTTAATGCCTTTTTGTCCTTGTCATCTAAAATGGCGTTTGGCTTTTGTCCTGTGTTACTTCACAATTATCTCCCGGGCAGAGCAGAGGGTCCTGGGTAATAAAAGGTGAATGGCTACAATGTCCTTGTCCCAGTTTCCCACTTGGTCCCCTAGGGGAGTGTCCACCAGATGGGAGACCAGCATAAATACCGGGCATGTAGTCCACATTAAATCAGATTCCTGCTGACCCTCAATACGGAGCTTTGTCTCGTCATTGGGGGGATTATTCGTATGGATTATGCTTGTTCGGCTATTTGGGAGACTGACTGATTCGTGTGATTGTTGTTCGGCTGTTTTGGAGACCAACGGGTTAGTGTGATTGCTGTTCGGCAGTTTGGAGCGCTCAGTAGCTACCTCTGCATTCGTTAAGGGAACGTCCTATACGGCAGTAACCCCTCTCCTTCCGGGGGAGCCGTAACAAGGCGGATGGTCGCTATGTTTTTGAGATGGAAGTGACAGAATTTGGCAATTGATTGGACATGAGGGGTGAAGGAGAGGTTGGAGTAAAAAAACAACACTAAGGCAGCGAGCCTGCGAGGTAGAGGTGATGGTAGTGCCGTTGACTTGGAGGGAGACAGACAGGGGAGTGATAGCACTTGAGGGAGAAAATACCAGAAGTTCTGTTTTGGACAGGTTGAGTTTAAGGAAGTGAGTAGCCATCCAGTTGGAAATCGCAGAGAGGCAGTCAGAGACACGAGTCAAGATGGGTGGAGAGAGATCAGGAGTGGACAGGTAGATTTGTGTGTCATATGTATAGAAGTGATAATGGAAGCCAAAGGAGCTGATGAGTTTACCGAGGGAGGCAGTGTAGATAGAGAACAGTAGGGGACCAAGGACAGAACCTTGGGGGATGCTGACAGAGAGTGGTTTGGGGGGGGAAGAGGCAGAGTCAGAAACACTGAAAGAGCGCTGGGAGAGGTGGAAGCAGGGCCGGCCTTAGGCGTGTGCGAGCTGTGCGGCCGCACAGGGCGCCATAAAGCAGGGGGCGCCGTGTGGCCGACATAGCTCACACATGGCCGGCCGGGCTAAAAAAAAAAAAGTCCAGTTGGGGCGGAGCTTACCATTCGGTGGGGCTTACCCTGCGGTGTGGTGGAGCTAAAATTTCTGTGTAACTGCTGCAGGGGAAGCAGGAAGGAGTTCCTTCTTCCCCCAACAACCCGAATCCAGGAGCTGTACTATCTGTCTGCCTCCACAAGGAACAGAGGTAACTATGTGTGATTGTCTGTGTGTGTGTGTGTGTGTGACTGCCTGTGTGATTGTCTGCCTGTGTGTGTGACTGCCTGCCCTTTTTTGTGTGTGTGACTGTCTGCCTGTGTGTGTGACTGTTTGACTGTCTGCCTGTGTGTATGATTGTGTGACTGTTTGTGTGTCTGACTGTGTCTGTGTGTATGACTGTCTGCCCTTTTTTGTGTGGGTGTGTGACTGTCTGTGTGTTTGACTGTCTGCCTGTGTGTATGATTGTCTGCCTGTGTGTCTGTCTGTCTGTCTGTGAGACTGTCTGCCTGTGACTGTCTGCGAGACTGTCTGCCTGTGACTGTCTGCCTGTGTGTGTGTGTGTCACTGCCTATGTGTGACTGTCTGGGCAGACTAGATGGGCCGAATGGTTCTTGTCTGCCATCACATTCTATGTTTCTATGTCTGTGTGTGCGTGTGGCTGTCTTCGTGTGTGTGTGACAGGGTGTGTGGGAAGTGGGTTAAGGAGGGCAGGGGGGGGCACTGTGAAGATTTTTCGCACAGGGCGCCCAAAAGCCTAAGGCTGGCCCTGGGTAGGAGGAGTACCAGGAGAGAGCAGTTTCCCATAGACCAAGATTATGGAGAATGTGGAGAAGATGTTGATGATCAACAGTGTCAAAGGCAGCAGAAAGATCAAGGAAAATTAGGATAGAGTAATGGGCGCGAAATTTAGCAGCAATTAAATCGTTGGATACTTTGGTCACAGCCGTTTCGACAGAATGACCAGTGCGGAATCCAGACTGAAGGGGGTCAAGCAGAGAGTTGGATTTGAGAGAGTCAGTCAGTCTGGTTTACACAACTCTCTTGAGGATCTCTCAAGACCATTTTGTTAGAGATCCCCCCAGAGGAAGGCTAGATGCCGAAACATTAGGGTTGTATTATCTCCTGCTCTAGGTCAGTATGCCTGCATTGTTATGTGTTTACCAAAAAGAGCGCACTAAACTGATTAATAGGATCTGTGTAGCAAAATCCACCTGGCTGTCCAGCATATTCCCCTTCCATTGTTTTCCCCATAGACTTTCATGTGAATTAAAACGTTCGTCTAATTGTTCCCATAAACTGGACTGAAATGCTTTGTAACGGATCACCTGGCACCCCGACTGGATACCTCCATTGAAAGATGCTCCTAGCGCTTCCTGAGGACTCCAAGCACTGCAGCAGACACCACAATCACCGAACCAGAGAAGCGTATACCTTCTCTCAAGCATAAGAATGCTGTAGACAGTTGAATAGGAACCATACGAATAGGTTTACTCTCCTAGCAGTCAAACTGGAACAGCATACAATAAATCCTTCCCCAATAATGAGACGACACTTCACTTTGAGGGTTAAAACAGGAACTCCCTGTACTGTCACATACAGTCTCTTTTATTCCCAATCCACAAACATAGTACAGCCCACAGGGCGTTACAAAACAACCAATCAATCCGTACAATACACCCAGACACTCCCACACAAAATCCTCCCCTCTGCAGGTGATATGATTACTGAACACAATGGGTAATCTCATTATCACCGGCAGAGGAATACAGTTTTTACACAATATTTATAACTTCTAAAATATACATGTCACAAACATAAAACATACATTTTCATAATCAATCCATTCAGGGAACAACATATTAAAAAATGGCACGAATCAGACCAGGGGTTCAAAAGTTAAGGGAAAGTCCTTTGTGACTAAATGAAGCATGGCTTTCTGGCCCAAACCAGTTTCAGAGTCTTCTATCCTGGAGATAAGTAATTCAATTATCTCCCAGGACAGACACAAGACTCCATTAAGCACATGGTTGCAAAAAGACACAAAACACTTTAAAATACATAAAGTCACATTTACACATAACACACAGACATTTCACATATCCCCAGATAGCTGGGATCTGAGTGCACATTATTAGATGAATGGCACTCAGATCACACAAATAAGCCTTTCTGCAGGGGAAATAAAAGGTTTAACCTGCAGGGCCATAGTCCAAAGGGAGCAGGCGAGCAACCAGGCTTCTCCAGTTCACAGTGGCGAGGTTGGTTTCGCCACATGCTTTATTCACCATACGAACACAAACTACCAAACACCGGACCACCTTGATGCACAAGTGTTACTTCAATTAACCTCCCTGTTCGCTTCATTGAATTTCCCATTGAAAAGCACAAACTCGTTGTTAAAGTCCCTGGGTGGCCGCCATTTCGGGAGCCGAACACGGCCATCTTAAACATCCCCGAACAGCGGTGTTTTGCCATCGAGTGTCTGGAACTAAAATAGGACACTCGACTAAGCGAACACCGCTGAGACCTCCAGAGCTATGGAAGAGACTGATAGAAACTCCCGAACGGCCTGCCGTTCGGTAGTTTGAATCCCACGAACAAGTGGATTCATCCGAATGCAAACACAGCTCTGGATGGCATTAAGTTCAGGACTTTTTAGACACAAAAAGAGACCGACCGCAAGGCCAAAACTCATGGAACTGTTTTTGGCTACTGTTGCCGTTGCGGTCTGTAAAAATTTTACACCTACATAACTCCCGAACCCCTGGTCCGATCTGGGTGATTTTTGAGTATGTTGCTCACCCAGATCAGGGCTATTTAGGGGTGTACCTTATGTATTTGGGGTACTTCTAGAACTTGGGTAAAATTGTGTACCTTTTTAATTATGTTAAATGTTTATCTGAGGGGAGGAGATGTGTGGGTTGTACCTTGTACCCGATTGGTTATTGTAATAATTATGGTGGGTGTCTCCCTTGCATGGGAGGAATGCATAAAAGCAGGGGTTGTGTGATTAAAGATCAGTTCTGCTACTGTGTGTCATCCAGTTATTGGGAAAAGTGATGGAATATTATTGGATTATATTGCTGATGGTGCCTGCTACTCTATTGTATTTATTACTTGTTCCTGAGCTATTCTAGGATACCAGCGGAAATAGGCTGTGGGAGACCAGCTCTCTGCTACAATCTGTAAATATAAAAAACACATAGAATAGTGCAGACTATCTGAACCAAAATATGTAATAGGGGAGGGAGGGTAGGTGGAAAAACTCACATTTACCAGAGCCCTATCACCCCATCAGTGTGGAAGTATTCCCTCTCCAGTCAAGCATTTCAAACCCAGAGCCAGGGGTGATAGGGCTCTGGTAAATGTGAGTTCCCTCCCTCCCACCCCATTACATATTTTGGTTGAGATAGTCTGCACTATTCTATGTGTTTTAAAAGTTACATATCCTATTCATCAGTTTAGCGCGCTCTTTTTGGTAAACATTTATCTGTATTCTGTGCATACTTCTGTATCACTGGGGTGGAGTGCTGCCATACCGAATGTGTTATATTCTATAGCGCTCACACATTATTGTTTTTTTCTGCATTATGTGTTTATGGGTTTCAAATTTGAGCACGTACTACCGGGCCTTAGAATGGCCGGACTTAACATACCAGAGAATAGTCAGAATACTTGCCGAGGTCGGGGACACAGAATGTCCAGGATACCAGAAAACAGTGAAGTCAAAACAAAGCCGAAGTCAATAACCAGAAATAAATGCTCAGGAACACACTCTCGGACAACCACTAAGGGAAACCATTACAGGGCATTGAAGAAAAGGCAAAAGGAGTTTAAATAAGCCTCCTTCAGATCCGATTGGCTGTACCCGGCCTTTGACCCCAGAACGTGTGTGTCCTTTATGTGACATCACACACACCGACGTCGTTAATACCATGGGCGGACGTGGGTCTAAAAATTGGCATGGATCCGCAGCGGCCGCCGTCCACCAACATGCTGCAGGAGTCAGATACATTGATGCATGGCCGCTGAACGGCACTTTAGTATTTGTTAGGAAGGCAATTACTGCAGATACTGCAAGGTGAGGATGAATATGTTACAGCTAGAAGCATTCTTACCTGTAACTGGAAGTCTTTGGTTATCCCTAGCCTTGCAGAAATAAAGTAAGAATACAGCTCAATTATGTATTTGAGCTGCTGCCTTCCCATTCTCTTAAAGTTAAAAAACTGATGGCCCAGATTTAGAGAAGGAATGGCTGACAAATCAGGGATTGAGGGATGTGAGTGGAGATGTTTAGCTCCAGGTAATACATGGTATACGGAACTAATCAACATAGAGGTATCCTTGAGCACAATCAGGCATTAGGGACAACTGACAACTTGCTACTCTTTGTAATCAGTGCCTGTGACACTTGCAATGTCTGTCATATTATTACTGTATTTGCATTACTGTATTATTATGCAAATTATATTTTTCTCATTTACCTAAATAATTGATGTAAATAACAGTCAGCATAATTCTCATGTTATCAACTATTAAGAGTACAATTTAAATTTTATTGAACAAACCTCCTAATGAGAACAGTATTTTTTTTAAACATAAAAAACTTACAATGCACTTGTAACGGACCGTTTTCGCCCACGAGCGGTTCCCTTTCCCAGCTGCACAGACAGCTACTGCAAGAACCAATCTCCCGAACTGCAAACCCACGAATTCACCAACTCCCGAACTGGAAACAAGGGAATACTCGAAACTCCCGAACTGCATACCAAGTAGCACACCCAACTCCTGAACTGGAGACACACGAATAGCTGCTAGCAGACGAACAGGAAAGGCCCCCAAGCGGCTTACACTCCTGGCAATCAGTCTCTAGCAGCATACAGTAAATCCCCCCAAAGACGAGACGACACTTCGTTTTGAGGGTCAAGCAGAATCTGGTTTACTGGGGTAACTGCCCGGCTTTTATGCAGGTCTCCCACCTGGTGGACACTCCCCTAGGGGACCAAATGGGAGACTGGGACACAAAGGGACCAATCACAGACTTACACATTTCAACCATCCCACAGTGCATCACAATCCCTCCTCTCTGTCCTGGAGATAATTGGGAAGTAATCCAATTATCTCCAAGGACAGAGACCAAAAACTCCATTAACCACATGGTAGTAAAAAGACAGTAAAAGACATAAAATTACGTACAGTTACATTTACTACATAAAACATAGACATTCTACATATACCCAGATAGCTTAGATCTGAGCGGACATTACTACCGAATGGCGCTCAGATCACATACATAAATTTCAATCGCCATGGAGCCAAAAGTCTTTCACATAGTCTTTCATTACATGAACAGGCTCCATGGCTTAGCTATCTGGGGTGATGCTGTTCACCCGGTTAAATTACCGAATGAACAGTCATTCGGTTCCGCTACCGAATGAGAAGGTAAGGAGGCTGGCGGCTCAGCGGTGTTCGCGCCAATAAGTGTCCGTTTTCAGTTCCATAGTTTGGGCGCTGAACACCGCTGGCCGTTCGGGAGGTAAAATGGCCGCTGCCACGTGTTCGGCAGCCGAACAAAGGCCACCCAGCGTTCATCAATTAAGCTGCGGTTAACCGCAGCTTCTGGGCAGTCAATTGACAGCACACTCCAGTTCCCAGGTGGTCCATCGTTCGGTAGATGAAATCTACCGAACACCCTGGCAGAAAGGCACGAATAAACCTTTCAGCAGGGAAAATAACAGGTCTGAACTGCCCGGCCATAGTCTAAAGGGAGCAGGCGAGCAACCAGGCTTCTCCAGTGGATAGTGGCGAGGTTGGTTCCGCCACAGCACTGTTACAAATTATTACGCACAGTAAGTTTCAAAACACTTTATAGGTTGTAAAGAACTGAAAATTGTCATTTGTTGTGTTTGCAGCATATTTACTGAAATCAAAAGCTATTTCAATCACATTTGAACTTTTTAAACACTTTAACAGGTCAAGTTACATTTTAACATAGGACCCTTTATTTGATAGCAGTTTTTGGACAGTTTCTGCTTGAATTTGTTTGCAAGATGTCAGATTAGCCTCCCAGAGCTGCTGTTTGGGGGTAATCTGCCTCCCACCCTCATAGATCTTTTGCTTGAGGATGCTCCAAAGGTTCTCAACAGGATTGAGGTCAGGGGAGGATGGAGGCCACACCATGACTTTCTCTCCTTTTATCCATATAGCAGCCATTGCAGCATGAGATGGTGCATTGTCATGCATGAAGATGATTTTGTTACGGAAAGCATAGTTCTTTCTTCTGTACTAGGGAAGAAAGTGGTCAGTCAGAAACTCCACATACTTTGCAGAAGTCATCTTTACACCTTAAAGAGGCCAACCAGCTCTCTTCCCATGATTCCGGCCCAAAACATGACTCCACCACCGCCTTGCTGATGTCGCAGCCTTGCTGGAACAGGGTGGCTGTCCACCAACCATCCACAACTCCATCCATCTGGACCATCCAGGGTTGCACGGCACTCATCAGTGAACAGGACTGTTTGAAAATTAGTCTTCATGTATTTTTCTGCCCAATGCAGCAGTTTCTGCTTGTGAGCATTGGTTAGTGGTGGCCGAATAAAAGGTTTATGCACAGTTGCAAGACTCTACACCTTGATGTCCGTGGGACTCCAGAGGCACCAGCAGCTTCAAATATCTGTTTGCTGCTATGTAATGGTATTTTAGCAGCTGCTCTCTTGATCCGATGAATGGATCTGGCAGAAATCTTCCTCAATGTGCCTTTATCTGCACAAACCCGTCTGTGCTCTGAGTCAGCCACAAATCTCTTAATAGTGCGATGATCACGCTTAAGTTTTCGTGAAATATCTAATGTTTTCATACCTTGTCCAAGGCATTGAACTATTTCACTCTTTTCGGCAGCAGAGAGATCCTTTTTTTTCCCCATATTGCATGAAAATGGTGCTCTGCTTAATAATATGGAACACACTCCTTTAGTAGTTTTTCCTTAAATTGGGCTCACCCAATTAAAATATTTAATCTTTGTGACACTTAAATAGAATTTGCATTATAATTTGGAACAGGGTGTATATGCACGAATATGCTATATTTTCTACCCCATCACTATTTTCTTTTCTGTACCCACTTCATGTTTAATTTTCATAAAATTCAATAAACTTTTCATTAAAAAAGAGACATGTGGGTGGGTGGCTGGGGCAATGAGAGAGAAACAGAAGCGATGAGGTTATGGAGAGAAAAATGGAGTGAGTGTTTAGGACATGGGGAAAGACCTAAAGATAGGTAAGAGATTTTCCAAAACCTCAATGCAGTCAAGCTATTTTATCAGCTGAATTTACCTATAAGTTGCTTAAGTAATTTTGTAAATTAGAAATTTGAAAAAGAAAGTCATTTTGTTGGCATTTGTTAGTAGCATATCCTTAAGACAGTGAGACTTCTATGCATGTACTTTAGTCACCAAAATACACTATTTCACAAGTGATCACTTCTTTGCAGCATGTAATTCATCCATAGTAAAGTGAAACATTTGTTTGCAAAGTTCTAATCTGAATGTTCCTTGACCTTTTGCTTAAAAAGGAATGTAAATGTAGAATTTTTTTATATACCTCACTCCAATAATATCTAGATTAAGATTTTTTGCGGTCTCCAGAAGATGCTCACAACTTATCAATGAGGCTCCAAATTTCCTGCTGAAGCGGCACATAGCTCCAGAGTCATCGACATTAATGCGGAGAATCATCCTGTGTAGGTGAAAGAACAATGTAGGATGGTAGTATGATAGAAATTTGATTAACAATAAAAAAGTAATGTGAAATGTGCTAATATATTACAGCCCCCACATTGACAACAGAAATACTTATTGAGTATGGGAGTTACTTAAAATCTCAACAGCTATAAAATTGTCCTCCCCCACCCAGCTCCCACCCCAGAGCGGCGGGTGGGGGCCCTAAATACCAATAAGGGGGGACCTATTGTCCTCCCCCCTGGCCCCCACCCCTAAATTAGAATAAGCGGGGGGACCTATTGTCCTCCCCCCTGGCCCCCACCCCTGAGAGGCGGGTGGGGGCCCTAAATAAAAATGTAACCCCCCAGGTGACTAGGGGTCCCCAAACTCCTAGTCACCCCCCTCCTGAAAAAATTAACCCCTACCTACCCCCCTCACCCTAAAAATAGTGAGGGGGGACCAATAAATAGGTACTTGTAAAAAAAAAACTACTAAAACTTATCATTTGATGTCTTCTTTCTTCTAAAATCTTTTTTAAAGCCCCAAAAAAGGCTAAATAAAAATCCATAATAACCGACGCACTTTGAAAAAAAAAAAAACAGAGCACAAAAAAATAAATCCATCTTCACCCATTGAGGCTCAGAGCACTCTGGTTGGTTTAAGTCATCCAATCAGAGTGCTCTGACAGGTAAATGAAGGGACTGACATGTAAGTCTCTACATTTACCTGTCACAGCACTCTGATTGATTAACTTGAAATCCAGCCAGAGTGATCTGTGTCATTTTACACAGCGTGGGAAAGTTCTTAAAGTTCATAATTTTTCCACGCTATATAATTTGACTCATAACAACACTCTGCTTGGTGGATTGAAAGTAACCAATCCGAGAGTTACTTTAGGGCCCCCACCCTCCTCCCAGGGGTGGGTGCCGGGGGGGGGGTGGAGGACAATAGGTCCCCCCCCTCCCCCGTTTTTCTGATTTAGGGCCCCCACCCGCCGTTCAGGGGTGGGGGCCGGGAAGGGGGGCAATAGGTCCCCCCCTGTTTAAAAGCCCCCACTCGTGCGTATTGGGAGGAGGGCTTTGTATTTTATTTATTTTTTTTGTTATCTACTAAGTGGCTGCAAGAGAAGTCCAGAAATGCTGACGTTCCGAAGTGCCGAATTTAAATGCTGAACCGAATCGAAAATTTTCCCCATGCACATCCCTAATTTCTCTACTATAAGCAGTCTCCAAAGGCGTTTTAGAGAATTTGACAGTATATCCAACCGGCCTCAAAACCGCAGGCCACGTGTAACCACACCAGCCCAGGACCTCCACATCCAGCATCTTCACCTCCAATATCGTCTGAGACCAGCCACCCGGACAGCTGCTGCAACAATCGGCTTGCATAGCCAAAGAATTTCTGCCCAAACTGTCAGAAACCGTCTCAGAGAAGCTCATCTGCATGAGATACTGTGACGAGATCCTGAGGCCCATTGTTGTGCCATTCATCCACGACCATCACCTAATGTTGCATCATGATAATGCACAGTCCCATGTTGCAAGGATCTGTACACAATTCCTGGAAGCTGAAAACATCCCAGTTCTTGCATAGCCAGCATACTCACCGGACATGTTACCAGTGGTGTATCCTGGTTTTGTGCTGCCCTATATGTGTATATTTTGTAATACAAAGATTGGCCAATTTTTGCTCTGTTTTGGTTCATCTGATTTGTTTCCCACATAGGTTTTTCAGTATTGCAATACTCTTGAGCTGAGCCAACATGTGGGTGAAAGTTGACCTTACCGAAAAAAAAAGAAGCTATTTTCTGAAAAATAGTTTGGGCAGAACTTTGCCATGCACAAGTCTACCTGCTAACTTTGTGGTAATTGTAGGCCCACAGCAGCTGGGACAGGAGGGCAGAGTTTGAGATCTTTGTCCTACAAATTCTTCTGGCTGCTTGGGCTTTAGAGAATAACCCAATGTAATCTGATTGTCACACATTAACAAAATCAGCGTTAAGCTTATTACACTTACTCAGCCTTCGGATAATACTCTGCGATTTTTACCAGCTCAGACTCACAGTCAAACGTCATTTTGCGCACTCCGTGCCTGGCAGCATGTTGGATATATGAAACCTGTTTACACGGATTGGCATAGATAATATCATCAGCTTGTACTCCGATACTTAGCACCAGGTCTATCTCACTCTGTGGACATGCAAAAACAAAGAATGAGCTTATTGGCCATAGAATAGCATAATGTTCGGGATATGGCATATTCACCATCCTTCATTACCTTGCTGGCACAATCAAATCTAGTACCCAGAGCCGCCAGTGTCCAAAGCACTTCTTTGCTATTGTTACATTTTACCGCATAGAAAGGCTTAACACGGGGTAACTCCTGCATTAAAAGTCTGTGCCTGTAAACCACCTGTCCCAGATCAGCCACTAAGAATGGATCTTGTTTCCCCTGTAATAAGAAATGTTGGAATACAGTATCAGACATTGTGGCACTTAGAGATCTTAAATCTTAAATCATTGTCCGGAAACAATTACTTAGATTAATAATTTGTTTCTCAATGTAGCCATAAGCATGCATGTTGGAGTGGAATCTAGGATTTCAAATTAATCAGCAAATAGACAATGGAGATGTTCTGTGCTACTTCTCTAATCTAAGGAGGAATCGTTTCAAGTATGTCATACACATTGGCTAAGCTACATATTTGGGCAGAAACTCTGCTAATAGATACCACCCTCCACCAATAGTTGAAAAAAAGGGGGTTATAAAATCATCTTAGTGCCACACTAGGAGTTATCACCTAAACAGTGAATCCCAGAAAAGGGAGGGAAAAAGCAAAAAGGGAAAAAAAGTCCAAATAGTCAAAATAGTCAGAAAACAAGATGAGTAAAAAAACAGAATAAACACTGAAAACACATCTGTACTCTTATAACGTTTATAAAAATTAATAAACATCTCAAATGAAAAAAAAAAAAAAAAGTTGACACTTATTGATTGATGATTAGTGATATTGATTGATGATTAGTGATGTCCCGAACGGTTCGCGAACGGTTTGCCACAGACTCATCATTGAGTAAACTTTGACCCTGTACCTCACAGTCAGCAGACACATTCCAGCCAATCAGCAGCAGACGCTCCCTCCCAGACCCTCCCACCTCCTGGACAGCATCCATTTTACATTCACTGTGAAGCTGCATTCTTAGTGAGCTGTCCAGGAGGTGGGAGGGTCTTGGAGGGAGGGTCTGCTGCTGATTGGCTGGAATGTGTCTGCTGACTGTGAGGTACAGGGTCAAAGTTTACTCAATGATGAGTCCGTGGCGAACCGTTCGGGACATCACTATTGATGAGATTTGCTGGTGAATACCACCTTTCACCTTCCTTTCTACTTTTCTGTACCCTTATACCGTTTATAAAAATTAATAAACATCTCAAATGGAAAAGAATACAGAATGTACTATAGGGACCAATAAGGAACCATGACAGGGCACTGACTAAAGCACAAAGTATTCTATTCGATACTTAGAGCAAGCAGGGGCACAAAATCTCTAGTGGCAGTGTACCAAGATATACAAATTTTTGCAGATCTCTCTCCGGCCACACTGACAGTCTTTCACTGTGACAACAATGCTGCAGAAGCATCAAATCCCCTACAGGTGGGGGTTCCCCATCTGGCTCTTAATAACCCGCAAGGTGCCACACTGCTGAGGTACTGTACAAGAACTTCTATATGTACTGCAACAAACAGACAAAAACACACAGAGGTAAAGCTCACATTGAAGGAAACCCCATCAGAGTCTATAATGCCAAAGCTGGCACGCTTACGGACTACCCAAAGCTCAGCCAGTCAATACTCTATAGCTGGGGAAGAGCTCAGCAGCATACCTGTGACGAGACCAACCTCGCCACATTGCATTGGAGAAGCCTTGCCTGCTGCCTTTGGATTATGGCCCCATGTTAAAAGACTTCCCCTGCAGAAAAGATTCAATCTACCAAATAACCGCACAAATGATTAGACCACCTGTGAGCTGGAGTGTGCCGGCAATTAGCCTCCCAGAAGCTGCAGTTAACCGCGGCCCGGTGTTCGGTAGTTTTACCTGACTGTATTATACCGCAGATAGGAAGCCCCTGGAGCTCATTCGTATGACAACTGACTTTGTAAAGACTTTGGCTCCATGGTGATTGAACTGTATTCGTGTGGTCTGAGCGCCATTCGCTTAATAATGTGCGCTCAGACCTGAGCTATCTGGGGATATGTTAAATGTATAGTTTTATTGTAATGTGTCTCACATAGTGTCTTAATAGTAATTCTTGTTTTAGTATCCCCACATGCATAATGGCGATTTGCCTTTGTCCTGGGAGATAGTTGAATTACTTCTCAATTATCTCTAGGGCAGAGGGGAGGAAGCCAGGATGCATTGTGGGAATACAATGGGACTGTGTGTCCTATTTGTCTACTTGTCTGTCCCTTGTCACAGTCTCCCATTTGGTCCCCTAGGGGAGTGTCCACCAGGTGGGAGACCTGCATAAATACTGGGCAGGTAGCCCTCATTAAACAGACCACTGCTTGACCCACAACACGGAGCCTTGTCTCGTCTTTGGGGGGATTTACTGAATGCTGATAGAGACCGATTGCTAGGAGTGAAAGCCGCTTGGATGCTTTTCCTATTCGTCTGCTAGCAGCTATTCGTATGGTTCCAGTTCGTGAGTTTGGAGTGCTATATTGTATGCCGTTTGGGAGTTTGGAGCATTCCCTTACATGCGGTTCGGGAGTTTGGTGTTCTACAGTAGCTGTGCCTGCATCTCTGAGAGGGGACAATCGCCTAAACGGTTTTAACCCCTTGTGTGCTGAAACGGTCCGTTACAATACCTCTCCTCCCCCGCCGTCAGCTCCCTCTGCTGACGTCAGCGGAGCCGAATCCGGAAGACAGCCACTAGAGGCTGGCTTAACCCTGCAATGTAAACATAGCAGTTTCTATGTCTGTTTATGAATAGATTTCCAGATAATGGTTTGTACTGGCCCTGAATAAATTTGTATAATGTTATCATATGCCCTCTGAGGCGCTGTTTTTCCAAACTAAAGAGATTACATTTTTTTCAACCTTTCTTCATAACTAAAATGCTCTATTCCTTTTATCAATTTTGTAGCTCGTCTGTGCACTTTTTCTAGTGACATGATATCCTTCTTTAGAAGAGGTGCCCAAAATTGCACAGCATGTTCAAGGTGTGGTCTTACCAGCGATTTATAAAGAGGCAAAATTATATTTTCAGCCTGAGAATTTATGCCCCTATTTATACATTACAAAACCTTACTGGCCTTAGCAACTGCAGACTGACATTGCTTATTGTGGTCTAATTTGTTGTCTATAACAATTCCCAAATCCTTCTCGTGTGTGGTCAGTGGCGTCGCTAGGGGGGCCATGGTCCCCCCTACATCATGCTGTCCCCCCCTTGTACCCTCCAAATGCCAGCAACGTGCTGGCCATGTGTTTAGATTCTATTCCTTTGGACTGTAACAGTCTGTTACTGTGGCAAAACTAGCCACTTGGACAATACAGAGAGACTATGGCTTTAAGGGTTGCCTGGGTAGTTCGTGTAATGTTATATGTTCCTGGGTGTAATGTACTGTGACCGTATGCTTGCATTGCCTGTATTGGCTATCTGCCGAAAGCAGATAGCTGTATTTCATTTCGTTTCATGAACAGCGCCTTTGCGGGCTGTTCGTGAACCGAATAAACTAACCTGTAATAGCCCACACATTAAGAGACGTATGACCCTTGTTAACCGATTGCAACAATGTTGCAATCGGTAATTAGAGGCTCTTCTAGGTGGCCGTCGTTCCAGGCCGTTCGGGAGTTCCGGGCCGTTTGGTATTTTATTCCCCGTATGCCAATCGGTCTTTTGAATGTATGTTTGGATGAATATGTTTTTCGTGCGGCGTTCGGTTGTTTTAGCTGGGATCTGAGCGGTAATCTCACGAATTATGTGCTCAGACCCCAGCCATCTACCGAACGTCCATTCGTGCAAATCAACCCAATATTCGAAAAGTTATGTATTTTAATATAAATTGCCGGTTCTGCTGCACAGAGGGATAATCCACTTAACAGTACATTCCAGTGGGAGGATCCCTCTCGTGCAGCAGTGCCTAATGGGAGAAATGCCCAAAATGTGAAGTCCCCCATGTAGTCCCCTACTGTGTTACCCCTGCTAAGGCAGTATGGAAACCCCTTGCATGGGGACTTGTATAAATACTGGAGCTGCAAATAAAAACCTCAGTTGACTCCCAGAACTGTGTTTCGTCTGGTTACTGGGGGATTTGGGATATTGCATTGTTTTTCAGCGCTTGACTGTGGATTACCTTCTTAACCAGCGGAGATCGTGGGATTTAATATTGCCGCTCCGCTACAGTTACAGCCCGAGGGAATGCAGGACAGAGGAGTTGGAGAGATGCTGGGGCTGGAGGGAGCACTGACAGGCTCCCGGCACAGGCCATGCCCCCAAACCAAGCCCAGCCCCACCGTTAAGCAGCCGACCTTGCTAATGTTGCAAGGGCCCAGCAACAGCCTCCAGTGACAGGTAGGCTTGATATGGTGGGGGGGGGGAGGACAATAGGTCCCCCCCCTCCCCCATTTTTCTGGGGACTCAGCAGTCTGTGTATAAACTCAGCAGTCTGTGTGTGTGTTTGTGTGTGTAAGGACTCAGCAGTCTGTCTCTGTGTGTGTGTGTGTGTGGACTCAGCAGTCTGGGTGTGTGTAAGGACTCAGCAGTCTGTGTGTGTGTATGGACTGCTGAGTCCACACACACAAACATGTATAATACCCACAGATTCCAAGAACTAGAGGAATCAGAGGCAGTGGAATGGTGACTGAAGTCTCAGAGACATTTAACATATTGAATTAGTGGCATGAAAAGGGGCTAATAGAATATGTACATATGTTTTCCTTTTGCTCCCATTTCTCTCTTTAATTCCATTGTGTAAATTATCCTTTAATATCTTTCATTTCCTATTCTAAGTATTTTTTAAAACTATATTCACTCCCCAATATAATTTTTTTAGTGAACTGATGTATGTTATATGGTATAGACACAACTCTGACTGAAGTACATCTACACAAGGTGTTTTTTTTTTTTATATTTGTACAGACAGTGTCACCACCGATACCCAACTCACCTAAAAGTGATAACATGTACCTGCCTGATATAGATGCTGTGCTGCGAATGTGTCTATCGCATACCATGGATACATGGTACTGTTGGTGGGAACTTGGTGTTATAAAGGTCTACTTAATAAAGAGAGAATTGCAGGGAATTGTGATGGGAATTTCTAACGTTAGGTTGAAATAGTGCAGCTGAATTGGAGAATGTTTCTAACTCTGCTACGTTGGCCTTAAGTTTAAAATTACCATCTCAAGTCACTGTAAATCTCTCTTTATTGAGTAGACTGCCATCTCTGATAAGTAGGCAGAGATTAATTATGTGGGTTGGACAGGTTTTGCAGCAGTGGGTGTGGTAAACTTTCAAGGTAGTAATTGTATAGCTGTGCTGCAAAATGTCTTTGGAATTTGTTTTTTTAAATGTTGGCAACTATGGCACTGTATCAAGGGAAATGTGTTTGTTTTTTAATAATGAATCCTCCACCAGGGATTATTAAAAAAAAACAAAGCACACATTGTGTTGGGGGCGGGGCTTAACATGCGGCAGGGGCGGGGTCAAATTGCAGCGAGGGCGGGGTTAAATGTGCCCCCCCTACTTTTGTCCCTGGCCCACCATGTACCCCCCAAAAAATTAATCCTAGAGACGCCACTTTGTGTGGTTAACCCTAATTCACTACCATTTAGTGCATGTTCTCCAATATGAGATTAACTTACTTCAGTGAATTTTAAATTTAAGGTCTAAATAGCCAAATTGGAAAAATTCGAGCCAATTATAGAGGGGAAAAAAATTAGCTATGTTTTCAGCTTGACTTTTTTGTCCTTAAGTTTGACCCAAAAAGTAGTGGGAAAGTAGTGAGGGCCCCAGAAGAACAGATAATACAGAGAACATCCAGGTTTCTTATCAAGCAAGGTTCCATGAGCAGTAGAAAGCAAGCGATGTTGAGTAACTTACTACTTCCATCTAGCCCCACCCCTTCTTACTACAGAATACATGCTGCCTTGTAAGTAACGGGTGAAGCAAGCCTGCTTTGGGTATAGCCTTGTGGAGGCTGAGTGAGTCAACCTATCTTTTAGAAGAAAGGAAGAGGACCAGGGCTTAATGTCTGGCTGGCTTGGGTG